AGAGAGAGAGAGAGAAGCGGGGGTGAGGGGTTAGAACGCATCGCGTTCGCATATTGTGCAAGTGGATTACTACGGATTATGCCCGACTGAGCGCAAACAGGATCACGTCACTTCTGTTTGCAAGACGCCAAGCTGTCGATTTAGTGAACTCGAACTCGATTCTATCTGGCGGAATCGCGGAATCGCCAGCGGAACAGCGGTTTTTCGAAAGACGTTTCTTTAGTCACGTACAACTTAAACCCAAGGGACTGAATGTCCCAGAAGAAAATTAATTAGTTAATTAGTTATTACATGTACACATCGAACAAAATATCACCTTCAAACAATTTCTTAAACGACTTAAATATTTTGATAATTAAACCGCAGATTAATCGTTTATTAAATGAAGATAAATATCCTGTTCAATTAAATGTCATATATTTTTTGCGATTAATCGTATTAATCCCGCAAGAATTCTTCAGCTAATTTATGGACGACATAAATTCGCGCGCGTAAATTAACAATTCTACTATTTAGCCAGAGAAAAAAAATGCGTATTTTATTTTCATTAAAAAAAAAAACAGAAGAGTCTTAATTAGAGATTAAAAAATTCTCAAACTGACGCAAGCATAATCGAAGATTACTCGCTGCTCGAATGGACGAGATGTGTGAACTGTGCGAGAACTCGCATAGACAAATTTCGACTTCTCGTCTTCGAGGCAACCTAACGCACCGCACCGCACCGCACCGTACCGCACCGTACCGCATCGCAACGCAACGCAACGCAACGCAACGCAACGCAACGCGACGCAACGCAACGCAACGCACGCAACGTAACGCAACGCAACGCAACGTGGCGCGGCTCGATGAGACGCGGGGTGCAACGCGGGATAGTGGCGGGAAGATAGCATTATACACGCGGATGGTAATAGGTTCTATATCCACGAGCTGCCGGCGCATTATGCTTTACATTTCCGGCGAAACACTGTTAATGGCACCCACCGCCGTCGCTACCGCGACTACCGTCGAAATCCACCCCCGTAATACACGGCCCAACAGCCCCCGCAGGCATTAACCGCTCGCGCTACCGTATAAAGTGACTTCCGCCCGCGATTACGTTCGTCGTGAGCACGAGTACACGGGTACGTTTGTACATTAATTATTAATTAACGCCGGCGAAGAATGAGGCGTATTGTCGGCGATAAACTGTTTCGCGTAATCGATTGAGAGATAAATCGCTCATAGCGTAACGTACGCAGGATTATTGCCGCGGGATTAATTAATTCGATTTTGAAAATATCTATCTCCGTACTTCTTTCTTTCTTTCTTTCTTTTTACTTTTACTAAAATTTACACACGCGTACGATACATTTAATATCTCAAAAGTCTTATGTATAAATATTGTATTTATCTCTTAGGAAAATTTTTTTACGTATGCCTATATCCGGATCATTGTACAATCAGGTTTACGTTCACTTTGACGTCGCTTTGATAAACATCCGTCTCTTCTTATATTAATGAAACAGAATGAAAATTCTTGAATGTGTATGGATTTGTATGAAACGTACTGATTATAATAATCAACCTTAATATACGGCAATCTTAATATAAAGCAACCTTAATATACATTTTAATCGTCAAATTATTTTTAGAACTTGAAAAGGTACTTACTTTTGCACTCTCTTAGTGCGTTCGTTAACATAATTTCTTTATCTTTAACTGCAATCTGTAGCGATGTGCATAAAAATTTGCGCTTCATAGAAATCTCCTTAATTGTCCGTATGACAACGATCGAGCCGATGTTTAATGATATTTTTCGTTTTCGCCTTACATCGATCAATCCATAATGCCTCAATCCGTTTCAGATGTAGACCGTCGAAAGACGTTTCATTGATCAACGTTAATTCGCGCGCGTCGTTTATAGGATCTATTCCTGTTTAACGGCACGTTAATAATGAACAGTTAACGAGGCGTTAAACGGTTATAGATCTTACGGAAGGCTTCCTTCGAAACATAATACAATTCAATCTAATGCAATTGCGTTCCGTACTGTAAGGAGGTTAGCGGCCAATTTTCTGCTCTTCTGCAATAATTTGCTGTTATTTATAAGATTCCTATTTCGGATTTTCCCGTCGCTTTCATTACATTGCCTTTCGGACTTTTCTGCGGAGGTCTTTCTTAACTTTTTGAAACAGCTCTTTACATTGAACATTCATTCCTAGACTGTATTCTTCGTCTGAAGAACAAATATCTCTTCTTCGAACGTACGTCTTTTCTGTTTTTCAATTAAATTTAAATTAATTCACTTGCGCGTTGAAGTTTTCCAAAATGTGTATCCACTTCATTATTAACAAATAATTAATCGTTTCTGAAGTAATTGTAAGATAAAATTTTAAGAATATAAAATTTAGTTTTTCAAATATAAATTTACGCTAAGTAAAATATAATGAAAAGAATGATAGAAAAAGCATTAGTGTCGGTCCACAATAAGTATTTAATCTTTAAGCCGTAAGAAATTGACTAATCATAGTCGAGTATTCTTTTCATATTCGATTATAATTGGTCAATTTCTTACTTCTTAAAGCTTAAATCACCTATTGTGGACCGACACTTACTTTACTTTCCCGTAGAAATTTTTGCTAACACACTTATAAAGGGTTCTCTCAGAGAGAGTGTTGGTCGAACGTCAGTGGTCATAGACGTTCCGCGCAGACGTTGTTTACGAGCAACCGACGCCGCTACCGACGTCGTACATTTACCCCGATTAGAGAATCGAGTCTACCGCAAAGAAAACTACCGTATTAGCCGACGCACAATGCGCCGTCACGACGTCGTCGGAAAGAAGCGTGCACAATGCGCGTCGGATGTCACCGCGGGACGTCCCACACTTGTGCGCTCGCACATTCAGTCAGGAGTCTTTCATTCGCGCGGACTCGCATTTTACACGGTAAATCGTACAAAACCTATCGCCTAATTACGCCATAATACCGTGACTGTGTGCGGGAGACACGGGACAGGCCGAGAAGATACTCTACGACGATGGGGGGGTGCACAAGGGCGACGAGATGAGATAGAGATGAGAGGGATAGATAGGCAGCTAGATAGATAGAGAGAGAGGGAGGGGGGGAGAGAGAGAGAGAGAGAGAGAGAGAGAGA